CACTCTTTTTTGCTCATTCTCTCTCTTCCTCCCCCTCTTTTCTTTTCATGGCTAAATAATCCCAATTCCCTTAAGCTGTCCTCAGGTCTTTCAAACCCCTTAATTATCATTGTGTCTTTCTGCCAAGCCCGCTCTATGTCATGGGTCAGTTGTAGCCATCAGAATTAGACACTGTTCTATAAAGGGTTTAAACAGTGGTGAAGATTAGAGGTAATTTCTTATGCTATACTTTCACAGGCATATTTCTTTCATTTCTTTTTTTTTTATCATTAGTAGCTTTGCCATGGTGGGAAGGAAATCTAGAGCTTTACACAAGCCAAACAAGTGCTATAGCATCGAGTTATATCTGGTTCCTTTCTTTTACTTTTGTTTTTTAATACTGAAATTTGTTGCTGATTCATAGTCTCTTTTTCTCTTCGTTTTGGAATGAACAGACACTTCATTATTATATATTTTGCATTCAGTATGAATTCTTACCCTGCAGCATGTCTTTTAAATGCATCATTAAACATTTTATCATTTAAACGTAAGTCAGAACAAATATATAAGTTCTGATTAAGCACCAATGAATCTATAATTTACATATGCCTGAATTACTGCATTTTTGTTGCGGGTTATCTCCTAGCTAGAAAGGGTTATTTTGCTAAAGTTGGTTTCTAGACCATTGGAGCAGGAGATTGTTACAGGACATGTGGTAGTGAAGCACTTGCAATTCTTTTGACAAAGTCTCTCATTGTGTTTGTACACATGATGGAGGAATGTGCACAAAAGAGACTAGATAGTAATGTCACTGGGAGAATGGTAGTTCATGAACCAGACAGGAAAGAATCCTAGATTTGGATTGATCAGATGTAAGTTATAATGAGTATGGCTCATCTTTGCCCTTGGTCCCAGTGACTTTTTGATATGAAGACAATACATATTTTCAAATGTAACATATAAAAATGGCCTAAAGTCAGGAAGAATGACCAAATATTTGCTAGAAAATCACAATCTTTAAAGCCATGGATAAGAGTTTACAGTGGGCTCCAACTAACATTAGAAGTCCTTGAAAGACATGATATTTCAATTTGACAATCATAGAGTGAAAGTATCAGGAGAAATAGCAATGAACAACATTGTTCATAATGCCCAACATGGTAATAATACCTTTTGGTGTTCATAGGCCTCAGCAACTTTTTAAAAAAAAGGTAATGATCTTAGGATCATTGAATAAGAAATGGGATTCTGAGGTCAAACAAAGTGTAACATGTTTCTTCACTGACAGCCTTCTCAGCTTTTAATATGTTAACACCCATTAAGAATTTTAAAATGCAGATATAATATGCAATGTTTCATTAATTAATTTGACCTTCTTTTTGTGAAGCATTTTGTTGGATGACTGATCTGCAGGATGCACTGGGAAATACTGACTAAAAGATTTTAGTAGAGTAAAAACCTGATGTGAGCCTGTAGTCCAGAGCAAAGAAAAGCAATCTTATTTTACTCAGGGAAATGCAAGTGCCATTTTCAGTAGATGATATTTGGAGAAGAGTTTTCTAATGGACAGTGAGCCATTAGAGGAATAGAGATGGTTAAGACAGGACTGGTTAAAATATTTAAAGGGTTGAGTGAAGGCTGAGAACTTCTGGGTTTCTAGTCAGATGGATGATAGTAATGATGATAACCATGGCAAATACGCTGTGTGCCAAACATTGTTTCAAGTTCCTTTTACTTGTTAACACACCGAGGCTTAGAACAACCCTGTGACGTAGGTGCTGTTAATATTTCCATTTCTTAACAGAGGAAAGTTCAGACACCGAGAGATAACGTTCTTTTCCCGAGGTCACTCAGGCAGTGAGTATGCAAGCTAGGATTTGAACCCTAGTGGTTTGACTCTGGAGTTTCTACTCTTATCCTCTGCTTACTCAGTGTGATTTCAGTTCAGTGCAGTAAAGTGCTTTTGACAGGCCTCTCTGACAAAGATGTCCAAGGTCAGCCTTCAAGGGTGATTGCTCCCTCACCTGGGTGATATTTACATAGTGGCTGTAGCATATGTACAGGCATTGGGAAAGAAGTTTAGACTTAATGAGTGCTAAAGGCTTTAGAGCTCTGCTGCTAGTCTGAAAGAGTGGATTTACTTCCATGGTCCCTTTCATCTTTACATTCTGTAATTCTTTTTAACAAATTCCACATCTACCTCTGTGTTGGCTGTCTACAAAGAGAAAAATGCTCAACAAATGTTTTTAATCAGTAGTTCGATACCATTTTGCAGCTAGAAAATCCAAGGTTAAATAGCTCATTATATAATACTGTTAAATTTATCATCGAGGTAATGATTGAAGTGCACCTGAAGTAGCCAGTGTTACCAGGCAGATGACCTGTCATTTCAAATCCTGCTACCTTCCTGTCTGAGATGAGCATAGATCCTTTATTAGAAAACCACATTCTAAGAGAGGCAATATAGGTTTGCAATTCAAATACACATTACTCATATGAAACTAAAGATCCCATGTCACATATTCAGTTTAAAATTGATCTGGGAATAAGTAATGCCCCTTGGTTCTTGGCAAAAGCAAATGAAAAATAGTCTATGGTGAAGGTACTGTAATTCCAGGGTTCAAAGTATCTCCAGAAAAATATTTTTTTAAGGTCAAGGTAGTACATTGAAAAAACATTAACAATTAATCACACAAGAAATCTGGGAGAGTGAGAACCTGTGAAAATAGCATACTAGAGAAGCATACCCATAATACTTCCATAGTTTAGAATTATTGGACACATTTTTAAAATGATGCCTATGGAAAAACAAAAGACAATATTGAAAAGCACAAGGTATTGCATACTTTATACGTGACCTTAAAAATGACCAAATTTGGGAAGAGGGAAAAGGGGTAGAGAAAGTAATAAGAGCTAGTAAAATTGATTGAGATGCATTGTAAACAATGTGTGGAAATGTAACAATGAAACATTCTTCCCCTCTGTAACTGATATAAGCTAATAAAAATGACCAAAAAGAAATGCTAGATATTTCAAAGTACAATAACCAGAGCTAGGGACATAGCTCAGTGGTAGAGCACTTTAGCATGCTTGAAGCTCATGGTTCCATCTCTAGCACCACAAACAATAAATACAGTAGAATAATTCAAATTGAAAACTTTATGCATTCACAAAAGACTGGATGGAGCCAAGGAGAGAAATAGATATAGTTGTGCAGAAGGAATTATTAGGAATGAATGCACAGAAAGACTACAAAGGGGAGAACAATCTAAGGACAACGTATTCAGAAAGTTGGAAATTGTGCAAGTCTAACATTCATCTAATGGGGTTTTAGAAGCAGAAAAGAGGATTTGGGAAGAAGCACTGTTTGTTGATAATCTTGACTGAGACGATTCCAGAGCCAATTAAAGACTAAGCCATGTGTTCAAGAAGCCCAGTGAATTTTAAGCAATATAAATAAACCCATAAAACCATAGGAATACAACGTGAGACAGGAAAAAGAAAGATTACCTTCAAGGGAATAACAATCAGCTTTACTACCGAAATCCCAGCAGTAGCAATACAGAACATGAGATAAAAGTAGAATAATATTTCATTATAGTAAAGTAAAATAAAAACAAATCCATTAAAAAATTCTATACTGGGACTGGGAAGGTGGCTCAGTGGTAGAGTGCTTGCCTTGAGCTAAAGAGCTGAGGGACAGTGCCCAGGCCCAGAGTTCAGGGCCCATGACCGACACAAAATATATAAATAAATAAAAATTCTATACCCAGAAGATAGCTATGAAGAATATGAATTTTATTTTTCAAATTTTATTGTCAAGGTACAGAGGGTTTATAATTACATACATAAGGTGTGAGTACATTGCTTGTCAAACATTCTTTTTCCCCAACTTTCCCTCCCTCCCAACTCTCAAGAATATGGAATTTGAAAGTAAGTATTCTCAGAAAAACAAAACCTGGAAAATTCTCCACCAACAGACAAAGAAAGAAACTCTAAAGTCTATGGTTTAGACAGAACTGATCCTTAGTGGAATATTTGAGATTAAAGAAAAAATAAAGGCTAAAAAAAATGATGTATGAGTCAATCTGTCTAACAATGTGAGAAATTAAAACCAAATCTTAAATTAAAATGCCTGATTACAGTAACATTGTCAAGTGATGGGCAAATACATCTTGAGCATTTTAAGACAACTGTATTGTTTGCAATGAATGGTATTGATTAAATTTAGTCTTTTAAAAGAAAAACAGAGACCCAATAGGGCACCATGGAAACAGTACTAGACCAGGAGTTTTAGATCCTGAAATTTGCTTTGTGATAACCAGTTACTTGTATGGCCTTTGAAAGCTATTTTTCTGATCCATATCTCAAGGGGTGTGTGTGTGTGTGTGTGTGTGTGTGTGTGTGTGTGTGTGTGTGTGTGTGTGTGTGTGTGTGTGTGTGTGTGCGCGCGCGCGCGTGCATGCACATGTGTGTGTGCGCATGCGCGTGTGTATGTGTGCATGGGCGTGTGCGTACGTGTGTGCTCACGCACCTGCGCACATGTAAAATATGAAGCTTTGATGCCAGCTGAAATTTAAAAGGTCCTCATTATAAGTCTGTAATAAGTATATCTGATTGAAGGAAAAAGGATCAGCAATTGAAGTGGTTTTCTCTTCACCATTGAAATCTGATCAAGAACACTTATTTTAAGTTTGGGCTAATTTTTAAATATCTGTTAAAAATGAGAGGGAAACAGTTTTCTATAGGTGTGGATTTTACCCTGTTTTCCCCATTTGTGGGTTTGTGTTGTAGTCATATAGTAGCCAGAAAGAGGAGTGGCAGTTTACTAAGCCTAGGGGGTGGGTGTTAGGAATATCAAGGGAACATATGCCGAAAGAAGCTGTGAATAGAGTGCCTCACTGTGCAACTATTTTTTTTTCTTTTTGATTTGTTATCTGAACTGACACATCTCCTTTACTTTCTCACTTTCTCTTCTTGTATTCTTTTACCCTCTTTCCTATTCCCTCTTGTCTTTGCAGGCCAATAATAAGCCTGAGATTGAAGCAGCCCTCTTCCTAGACTGGATGCGACTGGAACCCCAGTCCATGGTGTGGCTGCCTGTCCTCCACAGAGTGGCTGCTGCAGAAACTGCCAAGCACCAGGCCAAGTGTAACATCTGCAAGGAGTGTCCAATCATTGGATTCAGGTATTGGGAACAAACAAACAAAAAGTCATCATCGTGTCTCACCTTTTCCTGACTCACTCTTAATCTCTTTTGCTTCTTTCTGTTAGTTTGTTCCTATCTGAACTGGGAGAGAAGGTGATCGAGCTGGAACATTGATCACTCTTGTTACTCCCCTGATTACTGGGTTATTTTGGGGGAAATGACTCATTAGGCAGATGTCTCTTTCTACCTTCACTCTTCAGTTCTTCAAAGCAACAATCTTGGTTGAACAGGACTGACTACCTGTCTCCCCAGAGATATTGGTCTGTCAAGGGCATACAGATTAACTGTAACTCCTTTTTCCTGGAACCAAAACATTTGTATCCTCGCTCTTTTTTGCCAGGCCTTTCTGTTTGTAGCAACTCTCCAAGAATCAGTTATAAAACTAAGAGATGATCTATTCTGGGAAGAACTGAATTATCATGGTAGCTCAGGCTCTTGTTCGCTTGACAGCATTTTTCCCCCTTTAAGTAACAAGAATTGTTTCAGACATCTTAGAATTTATTTTGAGTCTATTTACATTCTTTGCATAGTATCCTAATGAACTTATAAGGGAATAAAAATTATGCAAGTAAATGAAAGATGCACAAAGCAGCTGAACAAAAGAAAACATTCCTTATAAACTTAAGGGCAAAAGAAGTAGAAGCATAGCAGTATTAAAATGTAGTGGGAACTAGAAGCGAGGTTCAAGTGATAGAGCATCAGCCGTGAGTGAAAAAGCCAAGCAGGAACACAAGGCCCTTGAGTTCAAGCCACAGTACTACCACGAAAAAAATATAATAAAATATACTAAAATGTCATGGGAATGATGCTTAAATTTTAAACCTGTTCACCTTTTTCGGGAAAAAAGATTTTAAGAGTTTCTTTATTAGCTTATATTAGTTGTACAAAGGAAGTTTCATTGTGGTATTTCCATATGTGCATACAATGTGCCCAGACCAAACTGACTTCTTCACCATCCTCCCTCCCGCACCCCACTTGAAACAATTGCAACAGATCTCATTGACACGGGATATTTTTAAATGAATTCATCACATTAAACAATCATCTTAAATCCTAATTCTGCAAAGATGATGTAGTTAAACATCTGGAAGAACATCAAGGTTTCCATAACAACAACAAAAAGCTATAAACTTGTAAACTACCTATATAGTCTATGCTCATTCAGAATCCATGTAGATAAATGGATACTTTTTTCCTAGTTAAGGGGTAAAAGCCTACCCATTAACACTTCATAGTATTTTTGTGTTTTTTATTTACAGTGATTTTTTTTTTAGCTATTGGTGTTTATCCTTTATGCTATGTACAAAGAGGTCTGTAGAGGTTGGTTTCTAAATCCTAGCTAGGCAACAGTGAGCAAATACTTCTTATTTACAAAGGATGTCCCTTTCCTTCAGTAAACTTATTCCCAGTAGCTTGGGAAGCTCAGAGAGTGACTGCATTACCTTTTTTCTCTTTCCATCTCAGCTTCCCAAGCTACTGGGATTTGTATACTACAGAGGAAAAGTTTATAAAATAGATAAAGAAAATGTTTTGGAGTATCAAAAAAAGAATAAGTTTACCTTCCATTCTTTTGCATGTATCAAATTAGCTTATTTTGAGAATTAGTCTTTCTCTTTACTTCCCTCCCCTTTCCTTCTCTTGAAAGGTGACTAACTGTATCTAAAAATGTAATATTACTTTTTACTTTCCCCTATCTGACAAAATATAGTATGTTTGAATTGGCTAAGGTTCTTATCTGAGAATATAGAAGATGGGAGGTTTGCAAAGCAGTAAACCTTGGGACCCAGAGGCGGGGGAGGGGGGAGGGGGGATTGGAGGGGGCAGTAAGTACTAACCAGTACTTACAAAGCAGAAATTCATCCAATCCAAATTTTATCTTTTCTTAGGGCTTTACTTACGATTTGTGGGTAATGTGGTAGACTATTGATCAAGAGATTACAGATTGCCCAAGTAACTATGAAGAAGAATCATGACAGCCAATATGAAAATACAATTTAAGCAAGATATAGTTTAATTGGAGTTCTTGTTTAATTTTTCTTATAAGACTTTTTTCCATGTTTTGTTTGTTTTGTTTTTTTAATTTTATTTTATTGTAAAGATGCTGTACAGAGGGGTTACAGTTACATGAGTAAGGTAATAAGTACATTTCTTGTAGAGCATTGTTACACCTTCCCTTATTGTTCTCCCACTATCTAAGACTGTCTTTTTAAGTTTTAGAAAACTATGATTGTTTCAGAAAACTTTGTCCCCTGGATGGAGAGGAGCATGCAATACAGCAACCTTGTCTCTTCTGGATATTCTTTCATATTTCAATATTTGGTGTTTTAAAGACTGGACACTGCCGGTACTATCCTATTTCATCCAAAGATCTCCTAATGGAGTTTAAGTAAAATCTAGGTTTTCCGTTCTGCCATATGTTTCTAGGATAATCTTTCTGCTAGACTGGTTTAATACTGTAGGAGAAGCACCAGAAAAATTAGAGGTAGGAAGTTAATCACTTACCTTGTGGTTCTAATGAACATTTCATTCTGTTCATAGGATTAGGACAATATGGTAGAAGGTTTATTATTTTGTTTTCTCTGGGAATTTGCTTTAATGAAGCACATATGTGTTTGTTTGTTTTTCTTTTCCAGGTACAGAAGTCTAAAGCACTTCAATTATGACATCTGCCAAAGCTGCTTTTTTTCGGGTAGAGTTGCAAAAGGCCATAAGATGCACTATCCTATGGTGGAATATTGTACTCCAGTAAGTGAGAGTCTTCTTGCTGTGAGACAGTTCATCTGTGATAAATTTCACTTTTGTATAATATCTCAGATCATATTTAATGCTGTGATTTATAAGGTCCCCAGATGTTTCCCCAACAAATGTGTATCTAATTACCCTATTCGTAAAGCCTAAGGCAATGACCGACACACATGGAGCACAATAGACACCCAGTGAATATTGTTGGATGAATAAATAGGTTTTCTTCTTTTTGCATGGTTGCAGACAGGACATCTCACATTCCTTTTGCACCGTTTTAGAGATTGTATTGGGAGGTCATGTAGTGATATGCAGATTCCTCAAAATGCACACCTTGTAACTGTTTATCAATATTCATGTTTTATTTCTGAGATATTAACAGCTAATGCTTTTAGTACTGTTATACTAATACTTAAATACTTAGTTAAAGGCCAGGCAGTTCCCTTTTAAACTGCATCATATGAAGTAGGTTTTATTATTTTTATCCTCTTTTGATAGGATGAGGACTCTGAGGTTCTAAGGTCAAATAATTTGCTCGTGGTTCTCTAAGAGGGAGAGACCTCTCCTAATGTATTATGAACATTTTCAGTGGCCAGTAGGTTTGTGAACAGTCCCTGGCAAAATGGCCAGGGCATAAGCCTGGGTATGAAACTTAGGTTCTTTAAACTCTAATACATACCATTCAATGTGTGGCTTGTTTAACACCAATGTTGACATTACCTGGGTGCATATACAAAATCTATCCCCGAAGGCCCTAAACCCCTGACTTTGTACATCAAAATCTGTTTTAGCAAGCTCTTCAGGGTACTCTTAAATATGTCAATGTGAGAAGCTCTCTTTTGGAGCACATCTTTCTTCCATGATCAGACGAGCCAACCCAGGCCTTTGGTTACCTTTCTCATTACCATTTCTCTTACAAAGGTAGTCAGTGATGAAGAACCTAGCATGCCATGAATATTGAATGGATGAAGAGCAATATTAATGTACCTAAAGTAGCTTTTTAATATACTGTAAAGGGTGGTAAATTGTAAGATGAAGTAGCATGCTAGCTTGTATGCTTTATGTTTTCCTCATACAACTTGTTAGTCTTACCATCATTTTATAGATAGTCAAGCGTTTCAGGGAGGCAAGTAACCCATCTAAGTTACTAAACACTGAGATAATTTTTAAGTTCCACTCAAATGATTTCACATTCTTTGGTTATGGATTATAATTAATTGTAAAGCAAGTGCTCTGTGGCTATAGACCAGAGTCATTTTGAAATTGGGCTTTCCTAAGCCTGATCTCACTGATTTCTCTTTCAGACTACATCAGGAGAAGATGTCCGTGATTTTGCCAAGGTACTAAAAAACAAATTTCGAACCAAAAGGTATTTTGCGAAGCATCCCCGCATGGGCTACCTGCCAGTGCAGACTGTTTTAGAGGGGGACAACATGGAAACGTGAGTAGTGGCAGATGTATATTTGAACTTCTCCCAGTTGAATACCTTCTCTCACTCCCAAATGCAAACAGTCTCTTCTGTTTATCTCCTTGAAATTATTTTAGCTGAAAAAAGAACAAAACAAGCTGATGTTCAATTACCATTTTCCAATGTCTCTTGACAATTACTCTCTCCAAAAATTAAACCATTTCACAGGAAAACGAAACAGTGTAGTCACTAATTACCTTTAAGTCTTAAGAAATATGGGACTGTTTACAAATGAGTGATGCCAATATTTCATTTTGATACTCCTCCCTCACAAATCAGTAGATGTGTGTCTTTTTGTATCTGATTGTGTGGTCATATGTACTCATTCCCCCCCCCCCACTGGAGAGAAAATATGGTCACAGGAAATTCCTTCACAGTAAGTAGTGATGATGTTCTTTGATCCAGCTGATGTCTTCTTGACTGCTTTTAAACCTCCTCCTTGTATGTTTCTGTAACTGACAACAAGCACACAACTATGCGTTTTTCTTTTAATTTACTTTCCACCTTTATTTGGCTGTTGCTTTCCATGGTTCATACTTAATTGGTTGAATTTTCTTTATTTTTGACCTCTCAGTAATTTTTGTTGTGGCTGATTTGCTTGTGTCTCTCTTCACCACCTCATTTTTTGTTTTGCAGTCCCGTTACTCTGATCAACTTCTGGCCAGTAGATTCTGCGTGAGTACTTTTGCTGAAGGGCGCTGCTACCACCCACACATTTGCTTGCTTGATTTTTAAAGTTTTTGTTTGTTTCATTCTGCTTTTATTTAAATGCATATTAATTTCCTGTCTTTTCACTTCAGTTTTTTCCCCCTTTCTCTTGATAAAGTTTTGAAAGTCTGATCTACCACAGATCAGGAGAATCACAGTAGAGTGTGCAGGAGCTCTACCTGGTTTCTGATCAACAGAAATTCTGGATTGAGTTCAAATTAAAATCAAAGGGATTGTAGACATTTTAGTTGTCTTCTGGGAGATATGTTTTTATATTTCCTCAAAAGCAAGGAAGAGCTTCCTGGTTATAGAATTACTTTCTTTATAGCCCTTATTTCTGGAGAGTCAATGATTTAGGACTGTCAAAAGGGTGGTGGATTTTTCTTAGGGCCCTTTATAAGCCAACTATTAAAAGATTTACTTTAGAACACGGTGCTGAGTTGGGTTGAATATTTTCAGTGATGCCTATTGACTTTTATCAAGTTCTGTCATGTTGTTTGACCGAGTTTTATATATGTAAATTCTCATGTTTAAACTCATACTCCTCCAAACTAATTATTCAGCTTATAAATAGTTATACATTTTACTGGAAGGAAAGAGTACTGTAGCCTCTGGTGTATATTAATAATACTACTAATAAATGCTAACAGAGTTCACAATTTATAATGTTAGAAACTTCTTTGGGGGCTTGGTGTGATGAAATGCACCTGTAATCCTAGCTACCTGGGATGCTGAAGAGGAAGGATCACTTGAGTCCAGGAGTTTGAGGCCAGCTGCACAACATAGTGAAATTTCGCTTCAAAAAATTATGAGACATAACTTCTAGAAACTTGTGACTTGTGTATTCGCAGGCATGTATGCCTGTTTTAAAATTAGCTGGTGTGAGCTTTTGAAGACAATTCTGGTGTTTCACAGTAGTCTTTGTCAAACTACAGTTAAATACCTCTACTATAGGTAAAGGGGAAATGACCAGATTATAAGAATTAAATTTATTTTTGTTTTAAAAGATTATTCTACTGTGTAATTTGAACTAGATCCTTAAAAATGTCATATAGTGGTAACTATATACTACTACTTAAGATTTACTTTAACTCTTCATTGCCTTAAAAGTAATAGAATGTTTCCCTTAAAAATGCATATTGTGCCCCTTTACCTTTCTATAATGGGGTTGGATTTCAGGGATTATGCTCCTCCACTGGCTTGTTTGCTCAGCTGGTGCTCTACCTCTTGACCCACACATTCAGCCATGCTTTTTGCTGATTATTTTTGGAAATGGAATCTCACATTCCTGTTCATGCTGGCTTTCAAATATGATCTCCTGAGTAGCTAGGATTATAGGCATGAACCATCAGTGCCTGACTATGCCCCTTAATGGTAGCTATAAGTAGTGAGAAGTCTAATTTCTTTAATTTACATGCTTATAAAACTTGAGAGTTACTTATTTAGATTCAGTTACTTTTCCTTCCTATTAGTGATTTGGTTTCCATTGCTTTTGATAAAAGTTAGAACCTTTCATAAATATGAAACCTTACAGCATGTCTTACTAAATCCCCAAGCCTGATTAAATCCTAAGAGAATAGGTTTACTCTGTGTCAGAGTAAGTTTAGCCAAGGAAGATATCCAGGAGACAAGTATGTTGAAGAACAATTTTTTAGAACACACCTAAACATAGTATAAAAATGATAAGCCAAGAGGAACTAACAGTTTTTGAGGGAAAGAAATTACTCATAAGCTAATGAGAAGAAATACAGCAAGCAGTCAGTTTAAAGTAAGTGAAGTAGAGGACATTGTCTTAAACTTTCAAGCACTTTAAAGTTAATACCATTTTATATTAAAAATTCTTTCTAACAACTGAAATATATTCCCAGTTTGCTTTTGCATGAAAAGTTGGTTAGATTATTTAGGAAGTGTGAGAAGTTCTAATTTTAAGAGGAAAAAAACTGCAGTCTGTGTTTTCTTTAATACCATAATTTTATTAAAGTCTTTACTCATAGGATTATAAATAAAATATAAAATCTACTGTAAACCTGTCCAATCAAGCTGAACCAGGTCCTGACATGCTTTATTTAATAAAAATTCTACTTGATGTTATCCAATCTTATGATGATGACAGTGTTTCATCTGTTTAATAAGCATCACAGAATTGGAAAGTTTTTTGAGATACAGACCTTTTGCTTTTCCTTAGTCAAAACCCCTTTGCTTGTGCTTGTCATATTATTTTAAATGGAATCTAGCCATAGACCTTTTATATTATGTGTCTATAGTCAGGCAGTCCAGGGGTGTTCTCTGAACTCTTCTAGTTTGAAATCTTAATGAATGAAGCCCTATGAATGGAGTTTTCATAAAGAGAAAATGGAGGTGGATGAGATGGCATTGGCCAAATGGGTTTTTAGTGCTAATAGGAAGTAATTCTTCTTGGTATATGGCTTTGTATTTGTGAAGTGGGATGTGGGAACTGTATTATTTTCTTCCTTTGGAAATGATTTTGAAGAATTTGCATTTAGTTTTATTTCTGGGTTAAGTAGTTTTGTTATTTTGTTAATTCTTAGCTGTCCAATGAAGTGATTTTTTTTCCCAACCAGCACTTTCTTCTGGCTCATTTTTTTGGTTGAACAAGTATTTATTTTAGTGCACATTTTTAAAAGAATTCTAGCTATTATGAGTTCTTGTACTTATTCATGCTGTGATAGGTGCTATGTACATTAATAAGAAATAACAGAATTATCCTTGGGCTACGAATTAAAGCTCTGTATGATTTTTTTGTATAAGATGTATTAATGTGCTCTAGATTTATATGTCTACTTTCCTTGGGGTACTTTTCTTTCAATATCTCATGTTTTCTTTCTTCTGTGTACTACTACAGAAACAACTATTGTCATGGAAAACACTAGTAACATTTTCATAGTGGGCTTTTAGCTTATAAAACATGTAACTGAAAGACTGATTTGTTCAAGAACATAATGTTTATTTTTTAAAAACTCAAGTATTAAGTTTTTTCAAATCTACGATGAAGATTTCAAAACAAACCATAGCATTTTTCTAATAATGGACTATTCTAAGATTCTAGAAAATAAGCAGAATAACTTTCTAAAACTATACTGAGTATTCACATGGAAACCTTTGGATTACCCACTACATTAAACAGCCTCCTTTTGTTTCCTTGTGAAAATTTAAACATCTTCTATAATTGACCTGGACCACATCATACTGGTTTCATGGTTTCATAAATATAATCCCTCCCCCTCTCCCTCTCCCTCTCCCTTCCCCCTCTCTCTCCCAGATTTCTGGTTCTCTAGTTATTTCATATAGTGTGTTGTAATTATGTTATAATTAATCTTCATTAAGAAATGGGAATACCTGGCACAGTTCCTACATAAACCCAACTATAAGTGCCTTCATTGTTTCTTTTTCTTTTTAATGTAAGAGAAAACAAACATATTCTTTTTAGTATTCAGACCAAATCCTTGAATTCTGCTTGGATATTAGGCTAAAACCAGAGCCTGCACTGGCTATGTCACTGTTGACTTCTAGGTTCATGCATTTACCTAGGGGCTTTCTGGGTCAGGAGAGAAGTGGAAGAGACCTTTTGTCCTATTCCAATTAAAACACAAGTCCAAACTGTTTTTCAGAACAGATTTTCCCCCTAAGGTTAATCTAAAAGATACTACTATAACTTCTAGCATAATTAATAGGCCAAATATGAAAGTACAAAAAATTGGTTAACTCTACCGAGATTCTAGTAAAAAAAGCTAAGACAGAGTATATACTTATATAGCAAAAGTAAGTGGATTTTCCATGCTAATTCTTTCCCATTATCCACCTATATTTGTGAATATGATATCCCTAATAAGAAATATATCTACTATTTTGACATCCTATTGAATTGAGTCATTCTTTTTGAAAAGATAAGATAATCTTAGGCCTTTTGGTTTTTTATTTGTTTCTGTAAAGTACTAGTATAGTCCTGCTGTTAAATTGGTAGACATGTTCCTTCTTTAGAAAATTGCACACACCAAGACATCTTGATACGTGAAATCTTAAGAAGTCTTGGACCTAGAGTAGCCTCTTTGAGGCTAAAATTATTGACAATAAATGTACTACACAAATGTATACTTTCCATTGAATAAAAAGGTGGCTAGAAAATGGCATAGGTATAAACTGTTTGAAAATTTTAAATCATATACTGCTGACACAATTTCCGAACTATGTGAAAAATTACAAGCTAGCAGGACAATAGTCTCTATAGAAAATTTCTCCCTTCACTTTTTCTGTGATTGAAACTCTCCAGAGCAGGTTTGATCTCTATGGCTTTGGAGATAACAAAAAGTGGGAAATCAGCTGTCAGATCTGGATTTAAAATACTTGATGCTCTCTAGGATATAGGAACAGCCAAATATACATTATCCGTAAAATTAGAATAAAATCGTTTTAGGCCATGTATATAACCTAACTGTATGGTGGGTTTTTTTTTTCTCCATTAATGGATGGTGTCTGTAACTAATCACATTTTCTGCCTTATAGGCCTGCCTCGTCCCCTCAACTCTCACACGATGATACTCATTCACGCATTGAACATTATGCTAGCAGGTATGAGACTAGTTGAATGCTAGGCAAATATTGATTGAAATAACTAACCAAGGAAAGCTAACCTATAATAATTTTAAACAAATCTTTTCTTTCTTCCTCAATCTTGTCTGCTTTCTACTAATCAACTTGCCCTCTAACGTGCATGCCTTCCACTGCATGTTGTCTTTGGACACCAATGAGAGCATGGGTCCAGAACAATCTTATTTAACCTTGGCCTTGAAACATTTCTGATAGCCTTGTTGTGACTTGTATACTGAGGACATTTACTAAATTGGCTTACAAGTCTTCCAACTTTCTTTAAAATCTGTTAGACTAGCTACTAATCTGCAAATGATACTGTGTGACATGGAGAATATGAAACTACAAGTTTTCTGTTTGTGTGTTTATTTTACATGATATACTGTAAAGATGGGAATAATTAATTTTCCTAATCCTTGGACCTTTTCTATCCTTCCTTCTTTGTGTTTGAGATCATTTTATACTTAAAAATACAGAATTACTAATTATAAGATATCTTGTGCTTGTTAAATAACTCTGTATAAGCATTTGATTAACTATTTTTAGTTATCAGAAGACTTATTTTCTGAAGTAAAGCTTAAAATTAATGGCAGAACATAGAGCTTACTGTGAATACATCTTTTAACAATATTCTGACTGCTGGGCATGCCTATCAGTTGTGGAGAACATTAACTAGTTTATTTGCATCTGTCATCAGTGGAAGGCATTAATTGTTTTGAAAAGGGGGCAGTATAGAAGGTATGGTGTGCATTTATTGTTAGGGAAACTTTTCTTCTGAAAACAAAGACCTGTTTTCAGTAAAAGGAAGATCAAACTGTGGAACAAAACAAAACAGCAACAATATACAAGTTCCCTTAGAATTTATATCAGAAATGTAAAGCTGCTAAACTAGCTGTGGTCTACCATACAGGGCCTCAAATGGTTAAGCCAACACACACATCCTTTAATTTGAAGGATTCCTTTCTCCTCTTGCCATGATTTATCCTTTAGTTTTCAGGAATGTTCGATTAGGTCTTGAATAGATTCTAAGAAGTCACATAAGTTTTAATGAGCTTTTACGTTTTTTATCAGGCTAGCAGAAATGGAAAACAGCAATGGATCTTATCTAAATGATAGCATCTCTCCTAATGAGAGCATGTAAGTATCCCATCTCTTTTTACAAAATGTTCCTGACAATGAAATTGCTTTGAAGGATTTAGAGGTAGGATAGTACAGGATATAGGAATTAGCATCATATTCATTTGATCTTTCAAAGAGCCATTCATTTGCTTTTTTTCTTTAATTCTTTAACAGCCTGGCACAGAATGAGCTCATCCAAATTCAGACATGATCACTATTCTTAATAACAAAATCATTTTTGCTTTATTCTTACTTAGACCTATTTAATACCATATCATTACAAATTGCTGAGTCCTAAATACTTAACTTCAAATGCTTAATCTTTGACCACACCTACCGACTAGTTAAAGGGATAACATATTATTTTAAAGTAATGGCTAGCTTACATTTTCTCCACTCATACGGAGTGGAAATGAGATCTTGATACAGAACTGTTATCCCCCTTATGCTATATTATTTGGGTATTTTCCTTCAGAAATGAACAGAGTAAGATTTTTTGTGATTTAGCATCTCCTCAAGAAACTAAGCGTAGTCTTGTGGAGGGTTTTCAGAGCAGATAATACAAATACAGGTCTTATTCATCAGTAGGATGAGAAAGTAGCCCTAATAAACTTGAGAGAAGACTGAGTGGTGCTAAAAGTATTCAAGGACCTGGATATGACAGGATCACACAGGCTTAAATCATAGAGTAAGGCAGTTTTCGCAGTATGGAGCTTAGAACATTCCCATGAACTCAATAGGTTATGGAGGAAATATGAAGGAAAAAAATAAGAATCCACCAACCGAATAAAGTGTTGAGAGAAGCGATCTAGCCAAACTACAATGATTCTTTAACTTTGATAAGATATGATATCTTGTCATCTTAGCATGGAGAATACAGGCAAAGGGAAGAATGGTAAATTTATCCAACATAGTAGGTATAGCAACCCAAAGTCTTGTACAGATGAAGAAAGGACTTCATAGAGATTAAATGTAAGGAAACGGTGCCATCCTGATATTTATATATAACTAGTTCTTGATTATACAAGAATAAATCATCTCATCTAGTCCATAAAAGAGATCAAGGTATTAATAATCAAGCCAACAGTCAGTCATTTGTTTATGACTTTGTTACTTCAAACAGTTTTCCCAATCATAACTGTCATATATTCTTCTTCATAGTTATGGGGAAATACATTAATGATATCCATGCATAAAAATTTTGATACGAAAATAAATGGCAAAAGAATCAGTCAAATGTAAATGGCTTGAATGATGTGCTTCTTTGGCTCACTGGTGCTATAACACATTCAAATTAATTCAAATTGTATCCAGATGACAGTGACTGCCATCCATGAACTGGCTAGGAGAACAGTAAGAAAAACTTAATTACAACTATATTTTGCTTAAAACAAATAGAAGGCTTAGCAGTAAAATATTAGAATTTGAGAAGAATAACAAATAGGTGGCAAAACCACTTGTTTTTAAGCAAGACCGCTTTAGCTCATTCTGAGGACATGTACTCCATTTTCACTCAGTGTTATGTGATTCAAGAATCCTGGTATTTATGGGCAGGTTGGGGAAGAGATTTAGTGATTTGTTTGCTTCACTTAAGTGTTTCTTTTTAATATACAATTATTATTATTATTACTATTTTTGTGGTCCCCAGGACCACACATATGCTAGGAAAATACTATACCACTGAGCTATGCCTCCAAATACTTATTTTTAGTTGACTAGACATATCTCTACTAGTTATTTGACTTGATGGACCAAAAAAATTTAAACCAGGAAGACATTTTCCTAAATATTAGCTTTTTTTCAACTTAAAACTAAGTACTTATTAGCTGGGTGCTGGTGGCTCACACCTGTAATCCTAGGTACTCATGAGGCTAAGATATGAGGATTGCGGTTCAAAGCCAGCCTGGGCAGGAAAGTCTGTGAGACTCTTATCTCCATTTAACCACCAGAAAACTGGAACTGGATCTGTGGCTCAAAGTGGTAGAGTGCTAGCCTTGAGCAAGAGAGCTCAGGGACAGCGCCCAGGCCCTCAGGTCAAGCCTCATGATTGACAAAACAAAATTAAGTAGGTATAGGGTGCTGGACATGATGGTATATGCAGGTAATACCAACCCTTGGGAAGCTGAGGCAGGAAGATCATAAGCTTGAGAGCATCCTGGGCTATCCAACAAGATTCTTTCTCAAGAAAAAAAAAATGTGGAGAGCTGGTTGCCTGTAATCCTAGCTACTCAGGAGGCTGAGATCTAAGGATCATGTTTCAAAGGCAGCCCAGGCAGGAAAGTCTGTGAGACTCTTTATCTCCAGTTAGCCACCAGAAAGCCAGAAGTGGCACTGTGTCTCTACCGGTAGAGCGTTCACCTTGAGCTGAAGAGTGCAGGGACAGCGCCCAAGCCCAGAGTTCAAGCCCCACAACTGACAAAAGAAAAAAAATGTGGGTATGGTGAAAGGAATATGAAAGTATCATCTTAATGATATCTAACCAGAAACAAAGAGCTTTCACATCTCATTAAGAACAGAATGAAATTCTTATAACTTAGAGTTATAGGTTTTTCAGGAACCAAGAGCAATTTATTCTGAAAATAATTTCTCCTGGGTATTAGAAATTTCCTAGTTTCCAGGAAAGATTGCAGCTGGCTCCCCAAATATGCTTTTTACCTCTTTTTCCTCCAAGATTAGTCCTTAAGACCTGCTCTTAGGAGCACATTGGTCTGTCTTCTTTAATCATTCACCTGAGTGACTGACTTTTCCCCCTCACTTTTGTGTTTCTGTCTAAACAGTAATTGCGTGAAACAATCATTTATCTCTAGTTTAATTATTTTTTTACCATCTTGCCTTCATGACTTTTAGAAGTTAAAATTAACTGACCAAGCAATACTTTTGGTTAAGTTGCCTTCCACTTAAGAATTATTCACTAAAATATTTTAAGGACTGCTGTGGGGTTTTTTCCCCTAAATATTATCCACAATAGCATGGGTTAGTGAACAGATTATCTTGACAGGCTTAGTAGTGAAAGCATAGAACAGCCATCAGCATGCCTTTTAATATTTATTAACTATTGGCTACCCTGTAGCTTTAGAGTCCCAATATTTTTGTGATTTGGGTTTTTTTAAATTACTCCATGTAAATAGGCCAATCAATTTCATCTGAAAATTTGATTTAAAAAAACCTCTGAATTGTCATCAGTAGGATGGTACACCACAACCTCCACAGTATCTAAATGTCTTAGAAGCCAAAAAAAATTGTCTAGTTAATTGTTAAGAGCAAGTAAATGTTTCTATTTTCAAATACACACCGAATCCTTCACCCCCAAAGCCAAATAAGGGGGGAGCCAAAACCAAAACCTTTGATTTTATTTTCCAGAGATGATGAACATTTGTTAATCCAGCATTACTGCCAAAGTTTGAACCAGGACTCCCCCTTGAGCCAGCCTCGTAGTCCTGCCCAGATCTTGATTTCCTTAGAGAGTGAGGAAAGAGGGGAGCTAGAGAGAATCCTAGCAGATCTTGAGGAAGAAAACAGGTGAGTTTTCTCTCTAGCTTTGTCATTGTTAAGCAGAGTGCATACAATTGCACACACAGAAAAGCGTCAGGAATCTTCACTTAGAGTCATTCTATGTCTAATTGTTTGCTAAAATAATCTGTTTAGCTCCTTTTGCAGATTTTCTTTCTTTTTTTTGTTACTGAAAGAAGAAAATGAATGTAATCAAATGATTAAGAATTTCACTTTTAGGCACGAAAGGATTAATGCTGATTTAGTGCATGTGCTTTTGGAGGCTTTGATTTTATATTTGAGAATAGAATTTAAGGGGAAAAGGCAGGTCATTTGTTTTTCTGCTTATATAATTTTTACATGTGTTTGGCTATATTATCTCAAACATTTAAGGAAGTAGGTTTATCCGCTTGCTCATATTGGGGAACAAATTATTTCTTCTTATTTTTTCACCATCAAATACACTACTTAAGCTCACTGTCATAGCAGACTAGGGGCACAATTTCAATTAGCCATCACCTGTTAATGGTGTTCACAGAAAAAGAGCCGAAACTAAACCAAAAAAAGGCTAAAGAAAATTCCCAATGACTGCAGGGAGAATCAAGTTGGAAAAGTCTCTCGTATTGTGTGGTGTCAGGATAATGCAAATCATTGGCCTTTTACTTTTGTATTAAATTTATTATATCTCAGGTCCCTTGGTTAAGAAAGCCTTTACACATAATCATTTCTCACAGTGTGCCTTCTTTTGACAAATGCCACTAGGCAAGTCTTTAAAGGAGAAATTGCTCAAATTTGTCACACTTAAGTACTTTCATCTCCTTGGTTTAGCCCAAGGCACCCAGACCTCTTAATCAAGGCAACACACTGTGTCTGAGAACCAGTGCCCTCAGGGAGGATGTCACCTCCAGATGAAAAAGCAAACTGCCATTCATCCAGTCCTTTCTCTGCTACTACCTGCCTTCTAGCTCTTAAGACCTCTCTGACCTCTGGGCATAGTTCCTTATCTAGTTGTTTTCCCTTTAGTTTCTTTCCCACCCTTAAAATAAATCCTACATATAGTATCTTCCCAGAACCAAGACCCATCATGACGTTCTTCCTTTATTGGATTTCTATGTCTTCTAGTTTCTCTGCTGGGCATTAAAACCTTCCACAATTTTCTCTTGACCTGCTTTTTTAACTTCAGCTTCTTTTGTGCTTCCTGGGTTCTGGCCATGCTGGTATTTCAGAATACATCCTGCTATCATCCACTTTGTAAATCAAGTTCAATCTTGCTTCTCAGCCTTGCTGCTAAACCCTAACCCTCAACAATCTAGTCTGACAAAGGAATCCTGCCCACCCTTCCTAACCTTGTTCAAAATAGCTTTCCCTGCCTAGAGCCCTGCAGTTGGATGTAATCTGTCTTTTGCTATTATTACTGGAACACCTTGGACTTTTCTCTAAGAACTCCTTGACAGTTGGCCTTTTTATCAATTACTATTAGCACCTCCCTTTAATGAAATAGCTGAATTGCCTTTGAGGCAAGGCCTATGCCTTAATCATCTTCATGCTCCCCATAGTACCTATAGTGTGAAAATTAAATGAATACTTAAGAAACATTTGGTTAAATAAAACTGGAGAATACAGCAGGCATTTCACATCTAGGGGGGGTAATATCAAATATTTTCAGACGAAAGAAGTTCAAAGATACTTTGTTTTTAGTCTTGTATATAAGATTATCTATGAACAAAAGCTATGGTTGATGAAACATTTGCCTCTATGTTTGAGAATAGCCATTAGTTATGATTAGTGGTAATAATAATTGGCAATGACCATTAGTATTTATTTGTGTTCAATCTTTAACCAAGTCAGATAGGAAGAAAAAGTCAGGATTGACATTGTAAATAGAATTTGGTATTATTAAGGAGTAATTTTTTTTCTACTATATGATTTTTGCCATTATACAATGTAACTTTTTAAGCTAATTGATCATGAATTCTACCTTGTTTGTTGTTAGCATACTCACCAACCATCCCATGACAACCAGGACAAAGAGTTTTAGTAAAGATTACTGGTAGCTATCATTCGTATATCACTTTCAGAGCCCTTTGGAGGAGAGGGTGTCTGAGAATGGAACCCAGGACCTGTTACTAAGCTCCAAACCCAGTACTTCCTTTTCAGAGTACCTTGAATCTGAAAATAAAGAGGAGTCTTTCTATGTATGGAAATAAGGAAGAAGCATTCTATGAAAATATCGCTTACATAAAATTGTGTCTTATTCCCCAGAACGTAACTTAACTTGAGAGATTTGTAAAGAACAAATGTCCCTGAATGGACTAGTTTGTCTGTTTGTGGTATAGTGACAGCCACTTTACCCTGAAAGATACTGAAAGATATCCAAGATCACTCTTCAATAAGAGGATGGTTTGTTCTCTGAAAGAAAGAAGAGAATTGTACAAGGGATTCACCGAGCTCCAAAATGAGGAATCGGGTGTTGGTACAAGTCTTTCTGTAAGTTATCTTGACATTCAAGAAAAGGTCAAGATGAAACTCTTCCTTTCTCCCTCCACTTTTCACCTCTTACAAATTCACATTTGTCACTTTTCAGCTCTTACCAAATCCAGAGCCACCATCCCTCCAGATCTCCTCCCATTCTGAAAACAACTGTACAGTTTTCTTTGTTCTCTCCTCCTTTAGCTTCTTGCAGTTCTCAAGAAACTTCCGAGCCATCCCTCCTGACCTCTGAATTCAGTGTTGTTTAAGAAGCCTTTAATTGACATTTCCTGTCCTTCCCTAAGAAAACCCAGGAAGTGATTAGATGTCCTCCCAGTGTGCCTGGCAGCTGCTATTTCCCAAGTCAGAATTAGGCTATATCATTGACAAATATGAGATACATTTAGAGAAAATGAGAAAACATATTTGAAATTCAGTGGTAGTCTCAAGTGTTTTGGCTGTGGACTTAGTATATCACTTTGTGTTGTGTTTCTTTATTCTACAGTTATAACTTATTTCCAAATAAAAACATAGGAGAAAGACATAGAGACTCCATTCCTGACTAGATATATTAATTCTCTTAATTATCCTTATTCATGACACTTCCCCACAAGCTTCCAGGAAAACAAGATGGCTATGTTAGAAGGGTCTCGGGGGTGTCTTATCTCTGTCATTAGATTTCCTTTTTCTTCTGATTATTGCATATAACATTCAGTAAATATTTGTAGAGTAAATGAATTACAATGAAGCTGAATCTATTTTGGTTGTAACACACATGCATGTGCATTTGATGAAAATTCATCCACAAACCAAATTTTACAAAGAAACACCATTCATAGGCTTTTTTCCCCTGCTCACTTTTCAAAATACTTCCTTTATACAACTGTCTTGATTAGCAGTAAACATTGCTTTGTCATAAACTTAGAATGTTAAAAATCCATTTTCCAAATCCCAGGTGCTAAATGTCTTTCCCATTAGCATCCTGTAATTCTTGGTTTATACTACAAAAATAAAGATAAAGCTCACTCTGACTGAATTTTTCTGAGTGTCTCTCATACGTTTGGGGGACTAGTGACATTAGTGAGATACTTAATCTTTAATGTTTTATTTCTGTGTAATATCTCTCATGACCACAGATAATTCAGATTCATCTTTATTTGGTAGAGGCCAGTTCAGGGGTAAAATTTCACTTTCATGTGTATCCCTAAAGTTGTAAACTCAAAGTTTACTTTGACTGTAATCTTTTATCTGATTTAATCTGTAGTGTTTAAACCCCAACATGTTTTTTTTTATTCTGCACTGTCTCCGAGGCTTGCTCTGAAATACAAGGTATGATCCTACCAATATAAAGTAGCCTTTACAGGAAACATTCATTGTCATCCATGGACAATTAATTAGATTGTTCCTCAGTCTAAAAGGTGGGTAAATACTGACCTGAGTCACTGTGAAGCCTAAAGTTAAAGTTATTAATATCATATGACAATAGGGAACTATGGATTCTTAGGACCTACTCAGTACTTTTCAGATGCCTTATTAGGTAACCATTACCTCATTAGGTAGCCTAAATTTGACTTTTTCACTTGATCCTTTTCATTCCTCCCCATGATCACACAAGATTATTTATGTTATTTTCGAAGAAATTTTACAGATTGGTCACTCATATCACTGAATTTGAAGTAACTAAAATCATGCACCTGTCCCTTGCCCTATAAGTGACTTGATCATGGCAGGCCCTGTTCTAGAAGTTAGCAGTCTTCTTTGACTCCAACATCTGCATCTCATGTTCTTTTGGTCTTTGTGTGAGTCTGAAATGGTGGTGAGATGGCAAGCTAAAGGAGCTGAAAGGGATCAGGAGTAAGCATTTCCAGCCAGGGATGCATTTCGTGTCCAGATAAATAGCAGAATATATTTGGATAAGGAGGTAAAGAATGGCAGGTGATAGTTCTGGCCATTTGGTCAAGGCCATGTGGAGAACTATATGGTGCCATACTGAAGAGTTTATTATATTCCCCTGAAAAAGGATAGAGAGCCCCTTCAGGGTATCAGCCAGGAGCAAGGCCCTAGATGACCGCTTATTAACATCTCTCTTGTACAACAAGCAGCATATGTGCGTATACAGATTCATATAGCTGTGTGCAGAGTGACTTTTTGAAAAGAACTATCTGGAAGTAGAAAACCAGGTTTGGAGCCCAAGCAAGAGATCGTTAGAGTCTCAAGTAAGGTAGCTGAAATCAAGAGAACAGACCAAACCTGAATTCTACTTGAAGGAGAAAGGAGAGTGGTTAGATTTGGTGGTTTGTTGGGTCTGGAAAAAGTAAGGATGTTTCTCAGGTCTGGTGGGTATGCAGCAAGTTATTTGCATCTGAAGCTGACATTTCCGGGAGAATAGTCTGCCCTTTAATTCAGCAGTATTTATAGAGGTCCTTCCTCAAGGGCTCAGTCGCTAGAAGGTGATGTATAGGGAATGGGAAAGGTTGTGTTGAGGTCCTGATGACCTCCCCATATGTAAATGTCTAGGAGTCTATAAGAAATAAAACTTGGAAGCTTACAGGACAGATGTA